AGGGGGGGAGGGGGAAAGGTTGGTATTTCCGAAGATCCCAGGGAGGGTATGAGAGTTTGTTTTGGGGGGAGTGGGTGGGTGGGTGGGGGGGGGAGGGATAGATACACTAATGTATAGGACTGTTAGGAGGGTATAGGGTTCTCTAGAACTGTTAGGAGGGTAGGGTATAGGGTTTTCTCTATTTGAGGGGGAGAATGAGGAGGATTGCGATAAGCAAAACGATGTGGAACATAGTCATCATAGCGACGAGGAGAACGACAAAGGGAGACCATAATGATAGGGAACATGAAGGTCCCCATGGCCATCGCCATCACCATCGCCATCGCCACGTTTATCGTCATCATCATCCAGGTCGTCGCTTTCATCGGCATCACCATAATGATGCGACCATCACCGTGATTATGATGATGGTCGCCATCGCCATCGCCATCGCCATGGTGATTACGATGATGATAATGATGGCGATTGTGAATCAAAATGACCTTAATGACCTTAATCAACAAGGCAACTTGGACCGTGATTACAGCGACGACGACCTTAATCATTATGATGATCATAAGGATGCTGCTGATGATGATGACGATGATGATAATGATGGCGATGGCGATGGCGATGGCAATGGCGATGGCGATGGCGATGGCGATGATAAGCTGAGAACGGTGATGATAATACGGGAGGATGACAGCGATGGTAAGATGAGAATGATGATGAGAAAGACGATGATCAGCATCATCATCACGATGATGGTGATGTGTAATTGATAAGATAAGAACGACGATGATAAGAGTGATGATAATAGTGATGGTGATGGTGATGATGATGGTGATGATTACGTGATGATGATGGTGATGGTGATGGTGATGGTGATGGTGATGGTGATGTGATGATGGTGGTGGTGATGATGATGATGGTGATGATGATGATGATGGTGATGGTGATGGTGATGGTGATGATAAGATGATGAAGACAATGATGAGATGATGAGATGTCGACTATGCACAACGATGGCGATCAGGATAACATTGCAGGCGATTGAGGCAACGGCATGTTCGATGACAATTAAGGAGAGTGTGGTTTTCGGTATAAGGGGCAAGGGAGGAGGAAGAGGAGGCGAAGGGATAAGTTGGGGGGAGGGAAGGCGGAGAGAGCATATCGGCTTTTTTTTTTTTTTTTACTATAGGCTGGTTTCTTCCCTCAATGCCCCCCAACATAGAGACGCAGGCTTAAGTCACGGAACGTCAGCTGGTAGGGGTGGGCCATCACCGCCGTGTAGAAGAAGCTGCATCCGCCATCGCCGATGTGGAAGAAGAGCTGCATCCGCCATCGCCGATGTGGAGGAGAAGCTCCATCCGCCATTGCCTCAGTAAGGAGGAAAGAGGTTTCGACAAAGATTTAAAAAATAACAGAGAGGGAGACTTGAAAAAAAAAAAAAAAAAAAGGGAGACGAAATTTTCCTTTTTTTTTTTTCCCTTTTTTTTTTTTTGAATTCCTATTTAAGAGAAAGCATAGGCGGAACAGGCGGAACAGGCGGATGAGGCACGCTATTTTCTTTTTCGTTTTTTTTTTGTT